AACTTATTTCAAACTAATCATTTTAAAAACTATTTCCAACTCAACTCTTTTAAATCTATGTCAAGCACTATCACACATACTCTTAGGCCACTAGGTTCTGCCCCTTTTGTGTGAGCCTTGCCTTGGGACCCTTGAGTTTCCTCTGAACTTGGACACATAAAAGCTGGCATTTCCACACTGCACTTACTCTGTCTTGGTTATGCAATCTGGGTGTGAGCACTGACCGGGACCCCTAGAGGTCCTTAGGGAACTCTGACACACCCATATATGAGAAAGACTATGGAACAATCTTGGCAGTTGAGGTGGTTTATTACATAACTCAGGGAGGAAGTCCTAATTAGGTGCTGAAAGTCTGGACCTGTTTCGGGCTCTCTATAGTGTAATTTTTTCTTTTCTTATGTAATTCATTCACATGGTCTGTAATAATTTGTAAACGAATATTGGGGTAATTAGTGAAAAGGGCGGGCATTTACATGTTTGTGGGGTAAGGCGGGTAGAAACCATGCCTATAGGACTTTATATTTTTTTACTATGTTTGCCTTACCATGTTAGAAACCATGCCTATAGGGTTTTACTATACTTGCCTTACCATGTTAGAAATCATGTTTAATAGGTCTCAAAATCAGTTTCACAAATAGATGCCATGCCTATAGGATATAATATAATCCAGCTTCTGTTATAACAAGTGTCACATGTTTTCTTTCATTGGTCATCATGCCTGCCAAGTTTCTGAAATCAGTGTTAAACAACTAGATGTTATGCCTATAGGGGGTAACTCTAGAAATTCTGCCTATAGATCTCAATTAGTTTAGTTAAATAAATCAATCTAGTCCACGTTTTAGTTCGTTTCGAAACTAGTTTAATTAACGGTTTATTTTCTCTAAAACAAGTTCTTTCAAAACTGCATTGATTTGTCATTATATATCATGCCTATAAGGACTCAAGAGTCCGCTTTAAGAACCTGCCTTGTTTCACTATATAAAATGTAGTCATCTGTGTTCTGCGCCTAGGCAAGCCTTAGGAAATCAACTTTAAATAAAACTAGAACCGTCTTTGTGAATAATGTTTAACTGTCAACGTGTTAAAAACAGCAGGCAAGCCTGGTTCGGACTTCTTTTCTGAGTCATGTAACAAATCTGATTTTATTGTTATCACTTAAATACCTTGTTAGGATCTGAATGTGGACCTTATCTGTGTATGAGTCATGCTGTCTGTGTGCATTACTTGTGGGAGTATATCTGAGCCTTCTATCTGTTTTCTCTGTTTTCCCCCTAAATGCAATCCTATGTGTTCTTGTTTGTCGCATAGCATTTTGCCTTTAAACCCGAGGGTCTGCCCAGAACCTCCACCCCTTTTATAAGATAGGAGTCCTAAATTCCTCTGGGACTGATAGGAAGGGACGGGTAACACCATGCAATAGGGGTCGAGACCAACCTTCACTTTAATTACCTTCACGGGGCGGGAAAGGGTAGATTTGGATATGATGACCGGTGCGCTAATGCCACGCGTAGCCCTTTTCTAAGGAGTGATTACCGGGCATTGTACTGATGTGATCCTATAGGCTGACCAACCTAGGACACCCCCTTTATATTCACAAACACGCTTAGATTGTACTTCTTTTCAAAATCTTGTTTTTCATTAACTGTTTTTTTTCAAACATCTGTGTATTTAAACTTAAATCCCCTACTATTTGAGCCATACTTGTTTATTTGCTAATTGTATAAATTCACAAAAACTGTCTGGCCGGGAACCACACTAGTGGATCCTGAGGGGTGCCTAACACCTTTCCCTTAGGATAATTTCAAGCCCTTACCCTATCTCTGGTTACCAAACGTAGTTATAGATGAACCTTATAGGTGCCCTAACGCACCTTAAATCGTTAGGTGGCGACCCTTCAAAAATGCAAACCCCTTTCCCGAAAGGAACGAGTTGTCTCATACCAAAATGTCATAAATCCGATTCCGCGAGGAAAAAAAGGGGGCGCGACAGGAGAATTGTTAGGTGTCTGTCTAGCTTTTCTTACCATAATTGGTTTTCCTATCTTATGAAAGGGCAACATATTTGCCATAATTAGGTTTTTCTTTTCCTAGAAGGAAATTTTAAATCTCCTATATTTGGCTAGTCCTTTTTCTTGTAGGAAAAGGTTTGGACTTCTATAAATTGAGGATCCTTTATTTTCATTCAGCAGCATCCATAATGTAGCCATATGGGGTTTGAGAGTCGTGCTTAGGGGGAGAACTTTACGGGACAAGTGTTAGTGTGTCACTTGTGTTTGCCTCTTCGTGAGGTTGTTCTCTCGATATTTTGTACTCTCTTTTATATAGTGGATTGCTCATCTCCGCCATGGATATAGGTCAGTTGACCGAACCACGTTATATGTTTGTGTCTCTTTTGGTATATTTCTCTTTGTTGTATGATTTATCGTTGTTCAAGGTTTGCTTTGCTAGTTTCCGCATGACACCTATTTTTTCCGATCCCAACAGTTAGTGTATAACAATTAAATCCTATCTTTTTAGCTGACCATCAATGTCGAAGAAAATCACAAGCTTAATCTCAAAACAACTGCCATGCTTTACATCTTTACTGTCTCAAAATTCATCAAATTTCTCTAACACTACTAGAAATTCGGCAACAATTGACCAAGTAAAAAACTGATCAACTTTGGTCGGTAAAAAATCAGCCAAAAATCGACCAAAGTTGGTCGATTTTTTAAAATATTTTAATTTTTAATTTTTTTTTACGAAACCGACCAACTTTGGTAGGTTTTCTTTGGCGCAAAAATACGGGAAACTATTTTTGAGTCCCGCAAAATTTATTGTTCAAGAAACCGACCAACTTTGGTCGGTAAATTCGGCCGGTCATTTTAAAAAACTGACCAACTTTGGTCGGTAATTTTATTTTTTAATAAAACCGACCAACTTTAGTCGGTTATTTTTGTGCGAAAATACAATTAAATAGTATAAATAAAAAAAAAGACAATCTTAAAACAAAATGCACCAATGGTCTACTGGTAGAATAGTATTCTGCCACAGTACATACCCCGGTTCGATTCCTTGATGGTGAATCTTTTGATTACATAATTAAAATACCGACCAACTTTGGTCGATTTTTTTTGCAATATTTTTTTTTTTGAGTTTAATTTACCGACCAACGTTGGTCGGTAATTTCCGACCAACTTTGGTCGATATATCAAAACGACCATCAAAATACCGTCCAAGCGTATTTGGTCGCGTTTTGGTCGGTAATTGGCCATAACCAACTAAAGTTGGTCGATTTTTTTGGTCGTATTTACCGACCTAGTAGTGTAAAAGAAACTTCTTGTTGCCTTTCTTAATATCCTTATATTAGTTTATCCGAAAATTGAAGTATCTTTGATCCATTTTTTAGTCTAAATTAATAACGTTCTAAATCTTAAAAAAATTCATCAACTTAACTTTTTTTTATCAAACTATACAAGAAACCTAAATTAAGACAAGGATAATAACTACGTCTCAATCCCAAACAAATTAAAAAGACCTTTATGTTAATACAAAAAAATAAGTGGTATAAGAAAATGCTCTTACTAATTTAAAAATGGGGCAGCGGCACAAATAGCCAAAAAAGTGTGTTGCGATAATTTAAATTTTGTTCCGGTGGAGAATGTTAATTTGTTTATAAGTTCGTGTCTGCAAACAACTTCCACTGTTGCTTAAAGAAAGGAAAAAACTAGAAGAAATTAAGTAATGAAAGAGTTCATTTGCACCAAAAAAAAAAAAGAAATTCACAATTATACCTTAAGTATTATGTTGACTTTGTCTCAAAGCGTGCAGGAATGTGTATTATCTACTAATTCAAATATAATTAGTTGAATCAAATCCCAAATACCCATGCTTGCTGTTGTCTTATTAGACGTTGTCTTAGTAATTAACAACTTCCTTTTGTACAAAACTCTCTACATAGTTAAGCTTATTATCAAACGGCTTTTGTTTGCAAGTTACAAAACATTAGTTAATAAAGAATAGTTTAACAAGATAGAGAACATAGTAAATAAATAGGTGGCGGCAAGACTTGAATACATATATTACGTTGAATTGTATGACCCCGATTCGTTAAACGCACAAATAACTCTGGGATAACTCACTTTTAATCACTTAATTATTGTATGGGTCGAAATCTGACCCTGATGACCGGAGGCGGTAAAAAAGTTTGACCCCGTCATGGCCGTGCCCACGAGGCGTAATGACGACGGGCCCCACGGTCCCTTTCGAGGTCAGGGCGTCAGAAAGATTACATCGCAGGATAAGCATACGGTATTGGGTAAGTAATAAAGGACTGCCGTGGGATAGCACACCGGTCAAAGACCGTTGGATAAAATGGAACATTGTTAATATATAAAGGGCAACAAGGAACTGTGAGAAGGGGGTTGGCTACGAAAAACAAGAGCAATACTACGAAACCAAGGGGGGAAGATTTCTCAATTATCTACAGCTTCCTTTTCTTTTTTTATGCTCTTTCCACTATAATCCAAGCCTGTCACAGATGTAAGCTTACTGTTCCTACTTAATGTATGATAGCTATCTCAAGAAATATTAAATTAATTTGTTCCCTTCCAATTTTTATACTCAATATGTTGCGATCTAAAGTTAATTACCTTTGGCTAAGATTTATCCTCTATTTCATTCATTAATTAGTTTAACAAGAAGTTTAATACTTTTTGGTCAAATAATTATATCTTCAACAAGCGAAAAAATTAAAACTTTTTCTTTCCAATGTTAAGACACCGCTTTGCGAAATTAGGCAAATTTCTTTCAACAGTTTGGAATTGAGAGTGGTTTTTCAAAATCTAAAATCCAACCTTTCAAAGATAAGGATACAATTTTTTTTTTTTTTTTTTTGAAAAGGACACTATAGAGATTTTGATTAGAGAAACTTGATTGCGTAACAACATGGAAGTAAGGTCACAATATTTATCATGTTAAATACGAAATCAAGCATGCTTGTTCTAGTTCTTGTCAATTAAAACACCCCCACGACAATTTGACCTTTGACTATCCCTCGCTATTTCTCAAAAATCCCCCTACTCTTCTTTCTCCTTAAACTCTGGCAATTTAATGTTATGGAAAGTGATCTTAATTCTTCCAATTTCGACAAGTACCAAATAACATGGAAATCCGAGGATTTAGGCCTAAGCCAAGCTAAATTTTATAGGTGTAGCTTTTGTAAACGAGGTTTCTCCAATGCACAAGCGCTAGGTGGACACATGAACATTCATAGAAAAGATAGAGCCAAGCTTGGAGAAAGTCCGAGCGAATCTTTAGATATCAAGAAGTCTGTCAGTCCTTCTCCTGATATTGTACCGCCATCTAATGATAAATTATTGCAACAAGAAGTATCTAGGGATGACACGAGTAGTCCATCAAAAAGGCCATATGTTACACCCGAAGAAGAACATGGTCATCATCGTCGTCATCAACATCATATTTCGAAAACGAAAGATGGAAATCATGATTATCCTATTTCAAAAGCACAAGATATTGACAATCATGAGTTGATTATTGGAGGTGATCTTTTACAATTACCTTTGTTTGTGGACTTTCCATCAAAAAAAGAAATTAATTGTGGGGAAACACAAGAAGGAAATAAGGGCATGCAGCTAAGTGATGATTCAGAATTGGACCTTGAGCTTCGGTTAGGACCGGAACCTCCCGAGTCTTCAATGAAATCATAGTAGTTGGTTCTTTTAATATATTGATCAAAGCATACATATACTACTCGGATCAACCAATCCTATTAAGAGGTACTTCTATTTCCAATTCTTATGGTAATCTTTTTCATTTTTTGTAAATGTAAATCACAAAGGGAATAGGATATTGTTTTTATATTAAAAAATTAATATTTTTTTCTCTCTTTTCTCTTCATTATGTATCTGAGGCTCTGAGCCCAAGTACGTATGTTTGTTCTGGTGCTCTAGTTACGAAGTTTTTAACGATCATGAGCAAATAGTTGTTTTGAAGTTGAGGCTTAACAACTATAATAACTTTTTTAAAAGGGAACATGTTGTGTGCCTTTTTTTTGGTAACATTTTCTTCCAATGTTAATTAAGGCACCGCTTTGCGAGATTAGGCAAATTTCTATCAACAACTAGATGAGGAAAGGCCCGTATACGAGCCCAACATTATAATCTTAAAATTATTGTTTGTGGGTGTTCAATTAATTTTTTGATAAATAAATCGATCATTGTTATATCCATTTAATAACTTATAGAGAATGATATTGGGGATCATAATTTACAATTAATTTATTTTAATAATTTACTAAAAAATTAAACTTTAAATTATAACCTGCTTAAGTTGCTCCAATTATTAACTTTTAACATCAATGTCAAATATAAACATCAAATTGTAAAATTGATTGAATGGTATTATTTTCCCACTACATTTGAATTTTTAATTATAGGGTTTTAATTTTTTTCTTAATTAAGGATATAAGAGAAATATTTTTTTTAATAGATTTATCATATGTTAATTTTTATAATAAAATAATATAAAATATTTTAAGACAATTTATAGATTGTTGAAAACTTATCATGGAAGAATGGAGTTCAAACCATATAAATCAAATTTTCACATCAATTAAGTACATAAGAGATAACCTCATAGAATAGATGAACAAATATCATCACTTAAATTAACTTTAAGGTTTAACAAATTATTGTTTTGTAAATTACTTTTGAATATAAAACTTTTAGGTTTTAAATCGCCTTCAAATACTGTGAATACATGAAAACCTTTAATTTTATTTTTTAAATTGTGTTAAGATAGTATGGGTAAATATGAAAATATTTATCTATATTTATTTTTGTTGCTTTATTATTTAAAAATTAAATTTACTTTTTCTGTGAAAACTTTTAGTTGACTAAAACAAAAATTAATAATTTTATCAAATGAAAAAAACATTCGAAATGAGTATCTGCATGGAGTGACTCTGCAAAAGTAGTCTAATCAACAATTCATTTAAACTTTTAAAGGAGTGTTGTGGTCAAGGAAAATGTGGGGTCCACGTATATTAAGGAGGACACAATTTGCATTTAAGAAATGCAAACAATATAATAATTTTTTTCGAAATGACATATATGCCCTTGGTTGACCATCTTTCCTTTTCTATATATCTATCAACAATTTGGAATTGAGACTGGTTTTAAAATCTAAATATTAAAAAAATACAACAATAATAAATTTAAAATTAAACGAGTCAGTGAATTAATATTCTAATGTGCATTTCAATAAGAGATAGGGGAAGAATCTACTACTAGAATTTATTCCAGTATATATTCCAATTATTTCCAATGTTAGCCTCTCCATAAGAAGAAGTAAACACAGAATTTCCACCTCATCCCTCTTCACTTGAAATTGGAGAAATCCGGAACATTTTGATAAAAGGAAAAATTACGTTACTTTGCAGAACAAAGTTCATATATCCAAGTGCACATAAATTATTTTTAAACATCATTAGTTGATACGCGGCGCCTTCCTGAGATTCCTTGGAAGGGCGACGTACGGCTAAGCAACTGATGTCAGTGCAGTTGCTGTCCGCCAACTGAGGTCCCCTCCGTACGCTAGACGAGATTGTCAGTGCCGTACGGAAAAACCAATATCAAGAGCAATTGAGAGAACAGAAATGAGAATTCAGAATGAAAGAAAGCTTGATTGCATTAATGAAAGCTATTACAGAAAAGCAACGCGGTGTCGAGGGGGAGAGACACCAGTACAGAGAATTGCTTGCTTGCTAGAAAGTTTTGATTGCTTGATCCCCCNNNCCATTTCAATTTATGTGGTGGTGCATGACTCGACATAGAGTTTAAGAAGGAAATATATATATTTTTTTAAATTTGTGGTCCGAAATAAACTATAACAACTTGTATGGTTGTAAACCAATTCATTAATAATAAAGTGAAAATTCTAAAGATAAATTATTTCAAAATAAAAATAATGACATTCTTTTTGAAATTAACTAAAAGCAAAAAGCACCACAAATCAGACGAATGAGTACTTTTTTGTTAAATCTCAACTAGCTTATGTCCAAACGCTAAATATAGCAGTAATGTTTTAGGTTGACGATTTGGCTTCAATCAAAAAAGTCATTGAAAAATATTGGATCCTTTTCCACCGGAGAGATCCGATCTGTTACGCGGCGCCTTCCTGAGATTCCTTGGAAGGGCGACGTAAGGCTAGGCAACTGATGTCAGTGCAGTTGTTGTCCGCCAACTGAGGTCCCCTCCGTACGCTAGACGAGATTGTCAGTGCCGTACGGGAAAACTAATATCAAGAGCAATTGAGAGAACAGAAATGAGAATTCAGAATGAAAGAAAGCTTGATTGCATTGATGAAAGCTATTACAGAAAAGCAACGCGGTGTTGAGGGGGAGAGACACCAGTACAGAGAATTGCTTGCTTGCTAGAAAGTTTTGATTGCTTGATCCCCCCTAATAGTACTTAAAAAAAATAATCCAAAGTTACAGGAGTAGACTTGATTAAGCTAGAGAAACATAATGGAAGTACATGAAATAAAACTACTCTATATTTACAATGAAAATGACTTAGTCTTCTATAAGGCAGCAGCAGGTCCGTTGTCAGTAGCAGTGTCTTTGGCATCACGGTCTGCGCGAGCGAGGGATATCGGTGGGGCGACAGAGGCACCTGCGCGCTTGTCACTTGGCGCGGCCAAGACCACGGGGTCGTCCGTGGCGCTAGGCATTGGGAGGTTTGCTAGGACGCCACGGGGCGCGCCCAAGGGGTCATGGGGCATGGCTGGAAAGCCGCCCATGACATTCTCCCCCACCTGAGTCGGCGACGTCCTCGGCGCCTTACTTGCAAAATAATCTTCAATGAGGCTCTTGTAGGCTTTGAGGTTTGTTCCCCTCTCCCAAGTATTCTCTTCTGCATCACAGCCCTGCCATTTCACCAAAAACTCTTGGTGATCTTTCGTTGAGGCATGAATCACTCTGTCATCAAGGATAGCTTCAACACGCCTTTTCCCGGTTGAATTGGGACCTCGAATACTGGGTATTGTGAGCTGGCTCCTTGAGGGATCCTCCGTGTCTTCCCGAAAAGGTTTCAGGAGACTGACATGGAAGACAGGATGAATTTTCCACCAAGCTGGGGTATCCACCCGGTATGCAACCTTCCCAATACGCTTTTCAATGGACAAGGGTCCAATGTATTTTTGCAATAGGCGAGGGTCATGGACCCCTGCAAATAAGTACCGCTTTGGAATTTTGACCATCACTTTGTCTCCTACTTGATATTCAACAAAGCGACGATTCTGATCAGCATGCCTCTTCATCCGCTTTTGGGCTTTGACAAGGTAGCTCCGCACTATCTCCAAATTCCGCCTCCACTCTTTTGAGAAGCTGGCAGCTCGAGGAGATTTAGCCATGTTTGGTGCATTCACAGTGTGTGGGAGTAGCGGTTGCTGTCCGGTAACAATTTCAAAAGCGCTTTTGTTGGTACTAGAGCTCTTTTGTGAATTGAAACACAGTTGAGCAGCATCCAGAAGCTTCACCCAATTCTTCTGCGATCCGGTTACAAAGTGGCGGAGGTATTCCTCCAACATACCATTGAACCGCTCCGTCTGGCCGTCAGATTGCGGATGAAAACTTGAGCTGTGACTCAATTTTGACCCAAGGCACTTGAAGAGTTGGGTCCAAAAGTTGCTAGTGAAGCGTGAGTCGCGGTCACTAACAATGTCTTTGGGCAGGCCCCAATATTTGACGACATGAGAGAAGAAGAGTCGAGCTGTATCTTCTGCTGATATATATTGTGGGGCTGCAATAAAGGTGGCATACTTAGAAAACCGGTCCACCACCACCAAGATGGTTGTGAGATCTCCCACCTTGGGCAATCCGGTGATGAAATCCAGGGAAACGCTTTCCCAAGGTGTCTTTGGGACAGCAAGTGGTTCCAAGAGTCCCGCTTGTGTCAAGCGTCCGACTTGTTCTTCTGGCATACGAGACAAGTCTTCACATACTGAGCGACATCATCGGCCATTTGAGGCCAATAATAGGCACGACGAAGTAACGCCATGGTGCGTTCTGCACCAGGATGGCCGGCCCACAGAGTATCATGACATTCCGCTAGAAGAGTCCTCCGCAAATCTCCTCCTTTAGGAACATAAAGTCGGTTCCCTTTTACTTTCAGAAACCCATCTTCCATGTAGAACTGGCGAGTCTTGCCCTGTCCTACTAAATCAACCAATACTGAGCAGCAGGATCCTTGATGAGTAGATCCCGTATTTGGTCCTTGATGGATGTGGCTACCTCGCTCCCCCTTAGGGTGGCGAGTACGGCACACCGGATGCTAGGTCAGCTCTCCGGACTGAGCGCATCAGCAACATGATGNGAAAATAAAATCAAGACCGAAAATATTGCAACAATCGTAGTATTTTATTTCGAATATTTGAGTGTTACAATCTCTATGAATCCTCTGATTCTTCTTTCCAATGGTAAATAAATTCAAGGGCCTTGGAGCTTGATCTTGAGTTTATATTTGTTCCACGAACGATGATCTTGTTCTTGAGCTTGAGCTTGAGCTTGATTGCTTGAACTTGATCTTGATTCGTTCTTCGTTCTTGAGCTTGAACTTGATTTGTTCTTCGTTCTTGAGCTTGAACTTGATTTCTTGAACTTGAACTTGACTGCTTGAAGCTTGAAACTTGTAGAGAAATTTGCGGTGTTTGATCCACGAGTTCTCTCTTGCTTCTTGTTATAACTTCTGGTCCCTTTTCTGAGTTATAAAGACCCCTATTTATTGTTGTGGAAGGGAGGAGACATGATAAGAACAAACTCTTTCCGACCAATCAAATTGAAGTGTGACATGACCGCATTTGATTGGCCAGA